CGTCTCCTGTAGAACCTCAAAGCCACTCTGTTCTATGGTAGACCTAATGTAGTAGCAACTCAATAAAAACCGTTTTTAATTTATCCAACTGGCTCAGCTCCCTCCTCTGGTTTAATGCATTTATTTGTTTCTATTCTAGGAGAACAGCAATAATTTAATCAGATCTCCTCAAATACACGAGAAATCTGAAGATCTATCCTCGGAGCAAACGATTTTACCCTTAAATTTCGATCACCCCCTCTCCAATACCGAAAGTAATTTATAACCATGTTAATTCTGAACTAAGTCAACGGGAATATTCCGATCCTTTTCGTGTCCGGAAAGTATCTCTCATCCTTTGGCCATTTCGCAAACCTAGAGGGATGGTTTAACTGAGCTCATTCATGTGTTACAAAGACGAATAAGCTTTCTCCGCAACTCTCTTTACGTCGCCGTTGGGGACTGGCGCGTAATTTTCTGTGTTTAGTTTCCATCTTTCTCGAGGAGGCGCCCTTACCCTGTTCTTAGAGGACGTCTTTAACCGTTAAATAACAGTGCGCGAGGACGTTAACTTGGGATTTTATGTTAAGTCCATGGCTAACCAAGTTTTGACAAATGCCACTAACAGTCTCGAAAATCTGATCAGTAAGTGTACGCACTTTCTAACATATGACACCTCTATTACTGAAGTAGAATAGACCTTTTATTCTTCAAAATCACCTTCTGCTACTGGTTACTGCATGTGGACACTTAGACATATTTTAATGACACAGCTTACTTGATAAAGTCTATATTTTACTTTCGTACCGTTCCTAATTTCAATGCCCACCCAAACTTATTTGAACATAGTTTAGTGCGTCTTGTGCCCTGACTTATTTCGTCACTTTTCAGAAAAGATATAACTAGTTATAGTTGGCTGACGCGGCGATGTCTGAGACATAAGAGATAGAGAGAGGCTGCGAAACGATGTAGGAAGCCGTTGTCGATCGGTAATATTCAACAGTTTTTCTGAACGAAGCGGTATTTTATGAAATTAGTAAAATACAACACCTCCCGAATAAACACTCAACAAATAATAGCCTCGGTAATGAGGAAACGCAACCGGTAGCCCTCGTAATTGATTGAGCAAGTGATGTTCAAGCTTAATAACTCACCTTCAAATCATTGGTATCGCATGACGTTGTCCGAACGTTCATCAATGCGGATACCCATGGTTCCATCATACGAGCTTCCCGTAAATGTCACAGGGACGTTTGCCTCCCCTCCGAGGTCCAAATATCGCACTGGGACCTCTTAATAAAGGTTCGTAGGCCTTATTGCTGCTTCCCTCTCTCAAACGAGATAGTCCCTGTGATTCATAATCACCAAACGGGAAAGTAAACACCAGTTGCTCTTGAATGAATTGTTGGGCAGCTGACGTACGCAGATCTGCAAAGACACTTAATATTTTTCGGTTCTATGTGTAACCACCTCACTAAAAGCACTTTATACTTGCAACGGCAAAAACTCTTGAAGGATCCCGTCACTGTTAGATGTTAGTTTATGCGACAATTTCTCTTGAGACTCGAAGTGACAACAGTAAAAGCGAGCTAAGATTCCCCAAACAAACTATATGTCTGTCTTCAACCTGTACCTCTAATGTTGTAACTACCTCTTAATCTTGTGTCCTACTGACGGTATTGCGGCCAACTAGCTTAACGTTATCGCGATCTTGCTCGCATACTTTTTATATTAGGGCAGGTATTCGAACGGAATGCCTCCTCTCGTCCATCCGGCCTGATTATGCAGTCTATTGAATTCTAAAAAATACGGTCTTTGATGATGTTGAAATTGCATCA